AAACACACAAGCGCACTTTCACATAGAATAGATATGAGTGCTGGAAATTTTCATCATTATATGCCTTTTTTTCAGGTCTTCTTAGAACTTTTATCAATTTTATTTTATTCACTTCTTATGTTCACTTTAGAAATAAACATGCTTTCACTATTTCTATGCATTTTCATTAGATATTCACTGAATTTTCACAAATTTCCCACACGCGTATTTCGGAAAAATTATGCACTGCGCCGTTTTTATCTGATTTTTCTGCGCGCATCTAATCGAAACTGAATTATTCGTGCTTGCATGGAACGGTGCGCTCGTTCTTAGGAAAATCCGGAAGCTTCACAACAAAAATAAGCTTTTACTCGTCATTCAAATTCACCATCCACTCCCGCGCGAGAGTGCAAGTGTTCGTATTTTAGAAAGTCATTACCCAATTGCTAAGAGTTTTGGAGTAGAGTGAGCGAATGTGAGGGTGTCTAGAAGTAGGTATGCATATACATATGAGCGGACACAACGTGTTTCGGCATTTGGAATACGTTGCTCCGGAAACAGCCCTAAAAGCTTTTATCACCGTTTTCGAAACTTCTATCCATTCAACAGTCTCTCAAAAACACTCCTCTCTTGGTCGCCAGATACTAGTTCCTGCCTGCTGATACTCGTTTACTCTGTCGGCAACACAAACACGTTCTCGGGCTGCCCATCTACATACTACCTCGTATGTTGGTATGTATGTTGAATCTTGCTTTCACTGTCGTCGGTATGTGGCATTTTTTCTACGCGGACGTTGCGACTGCTTGAAATTGATTTTTCTATTTTTACAAAGGGTTTCCAAACGTCGGCGTGGCTGCATTAACAAGTGTCGACACTTCAAATTCGGTTGGTACGAGCCTCATCTACAAACTGCTACACTTTATTAGGCGTGCGCTTTACTGTTCATTGACCCAAACAGAACGCTTCGTATACGTTTCCTTTTAAATAAGCCAGTTAAGTTCTTTTAACTAAAACAATTTTATACAAAATAATCGTTAGAGTGGACGCGCGGGCAGCGTTAAAAAAAAGTTCGTTTCAAAAGGAGAAATAAAGTAACTCGCCCAAAGGATAAACATATCGATTGCATTTGCCGCATGCTCAGCTGGGATAGACACAAATGGAAGTCCAGTGGAATTACGGCCAGATGCTTGCATGATGAATGTATCGACTGCGCCGGTTACTAAAAAGCTATTAGTTATTTCAGTAAAGTTAATTTAACAAATCCTTTTTAATATTATAAAAAAAAAACTTAGGGCACAGTTACCCACCGATGCTAAACCGTAGACCGTGTCAGCTGACACGACCTATCTAACGGGCTTTTCGTGTTAACGAAAACTCACCACCGCATAACGGTAACGTTGTCGTTGCTTCTCTCTCTATAAACAGAAATTTTACATGTTTATACGGACGGACAGTACGGAAGGCCGACTCCGTCGGTGGGTAACTGGCGCTTTAAAGATCACAATGTAATCCCTAATGCGAGTGAATCGACTGGTTCTGTACTTCATGAACCTGCAGGATTTTACACGAACTTGCATTACATTAAAAATGATCCCGTACTTCAATGAGCGTCTGCGTCCATTCGAACCAAATGGCCAAGCCAGCGCAGCAGCTTATTTTTAATTCTTTGCATTATCGCTGTAAAGCTCACACAGCTCATCGTTCCGCCGTCTGCGGTATTCATCATCGCCAACGAAAATAGGTACGTAAAACTTCCGCAAAATCTTCCTCTCGTATACTCCAAGAGCCACTTCATCAGATGTTATATTAGTGACGTGAGTGCGGAAGCGCGAATGCGCGATATATCCAACTTGGGAAAGGGAAAACAGTCTTCACGTTTTTTGTTATCGATGTCATCGAAATATTGCACGCTCTTATAGTAAATTGATCCTGAGCGGTTCAATTCTGCAGCTCTTATTATCTTCTCCAACATCAGATTAAAGAAATCACACAAAAGGGAGTCGCCCTGTCTTAAACACCGTTTGTTGCCAAACAGCTTGGACAGGAGTTTCCCAATTCTGATGGAGTAACAAGTTGTATTGCTCAACGTCATTCTACGTATCAGTTTCGCGGGGATGCAAAATTCTAACTTAGCGGCGTATAGGCAACTCCCTTTAGTGCTGTCGAAAGCGGTTTTAAAGTCGACAAATAGATGCTGAGTGTATATCTTTTCTCGCGGGTCTTTTTCAAGATTTGGCATATTATACCTGGTCTATGGTGGATTTACTCGGTCCAAAGCAAGATTGATTAGGCCAATAATTTCGTTGACGGTGGGCTGCAGTCTTTCACACAATGCGCTCGATAAGACCTTAAACGCCATAATAAGAAAGCTCGTCCCGCAGTAGTTGTCTCATACGGCCAGAGCATACTTCAATTCCAGGCGACGGACATGTGTTTGTCCGATCATATTCTGCATAAGATATCAAGCACTTTATCAACTCCTCCCCGTTACGTTGTTACCACGTAAAAGGGGCTCTGAACATCGGGCACAAGGCCGCTGTGTTTATTTTTACGGAAATTCGGCCTGGTCTTGAATCCTTTCGTAAGTCATATAACTTTTCTATATCCTTTCGGTCAGTATTCCAAGTTGGTCGCACTGACGTGTTTCGCCCTCTCTCTCCTTATAGCGGAAAATGCGTCTCGCTTCCTACTTCAGCTCCATATATCGATCCCACACAGCTCGTCTTGGGCCCGACAGCTACGTGACATACATAACCGCACCAGTTGTTTTTTCGGTTTCGGTGGAATCGTATTACTTATTCGGCAGTGGTAAGTAATGAGTGGAACTGAGTTTAAATTGAACAGCTGGCTGAAATCTAATTGGCTAATCTTAGTATAAACCAGCCAGATCGGGCGTTTAAAGTTAGTTTAAACCACGGCCGTGCACTAAGAAACCGGCCCTTAGAATCATGTATTCACATATTCTTTCACCAGTACAACATTAGGGCCAGATATGGAGGAGCAGCGCATGACTCCTTCATTTGGAAACATTCCGAGTAGAGGATGTCGTTTAGAGGTGTCAAACCATCGATGGTACACTATCGATAGTTTTATTTTTTTGGCCCTATCGAAGAGTAGTGATAGTTTTTCTCTAAAACTCTTAAACTATCGATAGTACTAGTTGACTATCGATATTTTAACACATCTAGCACAGCCCATTTTATTCATAACTTCTCCATTTTGTGTAGCTGCGCGTCGGTTTGGTAACTTTGCAAATTATTGTATTGCTTCCTTCTTTAGGGGCCGTTCTCTCAACCAACCTCTAATTGAAAAGCTCCATTTATATTTAAACGTTGCTTTAAAACTTATAGCTATGCCTAAAGAGAAGCATTTCTATTATCGGTTTTTCACGTATGTACATATGTTTCTTGGCTTTAAACAAATCAACAAAATTATATTACGAAATTAAAAAAATTTCTAATAAATATGTAAATAAATAAATAAAATTCGATAATAAAACGCTTTACTTTATACACAGCTATACATTTTAAAGCAATCTGTAAATATGAAGTGAGCTTTAAAGTTAAAGGTTGCTTGAGAAAACGGCTCTGTGTTTATTTTCCCAATCATTTGTTTTTTTTTTTTTGTTTTTGTATTTCGATGCCGTCCCGGTTAATGTGGAACAATTGTTATCATTACACTGACTATCGATAGTACTATCGATATTAGCGCTTGACACTATCGATAGTATTGCTGCAAACTATCAACGAGCAATGATAATTTTTTTCTGAAACATGGAAACTATCGATGGTGGCACTATCGATCGTTTTACAACTCTAATGTCGTTGCAAGAACGGTTTCAATTAAATCTGAAAAACTATTTCTGGATTTTTGGTAGTATTAGACATATTAATCATGAAAAAATCAACGTTTATTCTTGTATACCCTTATTAACGAGACTCCGGATATCCGCTTGAATCGTGGTGTATAATCCGCGATAGAAGTCCCAAAGAGTTCAAAAGAAAGAGCATTCAACGAGGTCCACTCAAATGCCAGATGCACAGTTGAACGGACAATCGGCATTTAAAAGGACGGTGGAAGATCCTAGGTTACGAGAAACGGGAAAGATATATTCCAGAAAAAAGTAGTATGGTATTAAAGTTTCTTTTAATCAACCCAGCGTTGAAATTTTTGAAGCCAACGATGTTTGCGTTGGAGAAGAACCACAATTTTTGAAAGTTGCACAGATTATTAGAAACTAAACAAAACATTCACATATCAGTTAAAATATATTTGAATTCATTCTCATACTAAATTGTACATTTCTTGAAATTAATCATTTAACTTCAGGTAACGCGTAAACTAATCTCTAGTTAAACTGAATACGACTTAAAAAGGATCAGTCCAGCGCCTTCGTCTTGACCTGGAGGCTGGGATATTATGTAGATCACATTCATGTTAAAAACGGTATAACAAGTTTCATGTGCCTCATGAATTAAGTTAAATTTGCTTTTTTAAATACGGGACAACGCTTCTAAATACAGTTCAGAAACACATTCATTTGATACCCATATTTTTAATAATTACTTCAACTTATTAAATAATTTGAGTTTACATTTTTTAATAGGTGGAAACCCTCTTTAATGTACTAAATATTCAAACTAAGGATATCTTATCACCTTCGTTTCCCGTCATACTTTAATA